GGGGTTGGAAAATCAGGACAAACTCGGACAAACTCTTTGGGTTAGCAATCCGTATGTCCGAAATTTAAAAAAATTCAAAAACAAATTTCTTTTTCCTCTATTTTGAACTCTCCTTCCCATTGTGAAATTGACATTTTGACTATGCGGTTAATACTAGATTTTGTTTTAATTAGAAAATTAAATGTTTTTGTATTCCCATTTATAGTTATAAAAAAGTTCTAAAAGTAAAAAAAGTTTTTTACTCTTAACATATACAAAGTTGCGTGAGTTTTTGCGAGGCATGGTGGATGTCCGGCCATCCATTGTGAATGGCCCCTATGTCAAATACTAAGCAGCTGGGAAATTTGTCTGAGGATGCGCCAGATTAGCCAAAATCTCCATTGAAACAACAACTTTCTGCACAAACTATGCTTTTTTCACGGGAAAATTTTTCTTTTTCTTAAAAAACACTTTATAAACACGGAAACCTTAAATATTTAAATAATTTTCATACCGTTTTTGCTTCGAAATCACTATCATGCAGTAGCATGTTTATTTACCCCATCTTTTCACTGAATAAAGTTTATCTTTTGGAAAGCTCTTTGTTTTATAGCTCTTCGTTACTGGTTTACGTTTATGTTGATTTTGGCACCCATGAGACCAACAAGTTGCAGTAATCCTCGAATGAAAATGAATATTCGAAGAGCATAAAAGCCAACTCCTAGCCATGTAACTTTATCGCCTGAATTTTGAATCATTCCACAACTAAAATCTGACGATGTAGATGCTTTTTATACTTGAGATGTTAGTGAAGTTTTTCCTACAATTTAATTTCCTTGATCGCCGTCATAAAAATGCAAAATCATAAATCGAAATTTCACTCGTCTTGTTTTTTCAAATTTTCGAATTTGTGTAATTGTAAAATATCACGTGCGCCAGCAATTCTCTGCACAGCGGTAGCAAATTTCCCAGCTGAATTTCCAGCTGCTCAGAAGCTGCTCAAATACTACAGAAACCTCGACAGCTAAGTAATGCGGGCGCGTATGAGATATATGCTTATAATTTAGGGTGTTTGTATTCCGAGTAATGAGTAATGAGTAACGAGTAATGAGTAATGAGTAATGAATTTTCCTACTTTGAATTGGAAAGATAAACCATGAAAACATTGACAGTGATTCCACACACTCTTTGCCGTGAATAATTATAATGCTATGACGATGTCAGAAGTTTAAACTGGTATGATCAAATATGGCCATATAAATTTCGCTTATATAGCATACTCGTTTTTAGCATGTCACATATTAACCAGTTCAGCCTTTAAAACGATCGTCCCCAAGTTGAACAGCTTGTTCGCAATAGTATACTGCAGAATACAAGCTGCGCTGTCGTATAAAGGTTGGTTTTATGATAAATTTTCGGCCGCCATATTTGTTTTGCTATCTGCGGTCATGCTCCACACCATTTTGTTCGGCTAAATTCACGTTTTTCCATTGTGAAATGTCAATAACTAAGTTTTCAGTTTATGAAACCAAGATATTACTCTTTAAATCGATTTTGTTGACCGCTATATTAGTGTTTACTTGTATTCTACTATTGCGAACATGTTATTCAACTTGGAGAGAAACGTTTTGAAGGCTAAACGTACTGGTTAATATGTGACGTACTAAAAACGAATATGCTATAAGCGAACTTTTATATGGCCATACTTGATCATACCATGCAGTTTAAACTGCTGACACTTTCACAGCATTGAAATTATTCATGACAAGGAGCGAGTGGAATCACTGTCAATGTTTTCATGGTTTATCTTTCCAAAGCATGCACGAAAATTCATTACTCATTACTCATTACTTATTACTCATTACTCGGAATACAAACACCCTATAATTTAACCGTCTCAACATAATTTGTTTACTTTACGTATATAGTATTTAAAACACGAGAAGGAATGTTTTATCATATTTAAAACGCGAGGCGCAGCCGAGCGTTTTAGATATAATAAAACGCGACTTCGAGTGTTTTGAATAGCTTAAAATTCGACCACAAAAGAATACTAATTAGCATAAACAATTATATAATCATAGTAATTAGGATGAACAATTATAAAAAGAATACTAATGAAGATGAGTTTATCAGAAATAAAGTCACTCCACGTGACATATTATGGCTGACATGATTTGCCACAAGGTTTATAAATTTTTGATGAGTATTTTAAAACGTAATTAGCAATACCTTAGACGACCAAAGATATCTAGCAAAGAAATAACATATAGATAAACCTTAATGATTTTTAACAGCAAGTCTTCTTCGCAATTTTCACGATATGCCTACCAAGAGTAGCTTATCCAGTCGGATGAAGTTCGGCAATCGTGAAATGCTCGGATTTGCATTCAGATTTTAAAAATAGCGGTGATTTGTGGCGCCGATATAGACTATATTGTAGTTTCAATATTAACAAGACGCAGGTCAGGCGTACACTCGTGCTCCAAAGGTATCGGGTTAGCATTACTTGATGGACACAAATATGCTTGTTGTACACAACGCGGCGGTCAGATTGAATAACAGTTGGTACAGTATTCAGTAGCATTTGTTTGAGAAAATATATTCTGTTAGGTCCATTGGAAGATGTAACTTTTCATGTACCGACGCTAGCGAAAATGAGAAGCTGATTAATATTCATGAAACTTAAAACTATTATATAGTAGTAGGCGTATTGTAACAATTTTAAAACAGCATTTTGTAACAATTTTGAAAAAGGACCTCTCGCAAATATTTAATAGTGAACTGTCAAACATCTATTTTTGGCCAATACGTTAACGAGCAGGGTTTTGTAAGGTGCCCAGATAGTGTGATCAGTGTATACAAGCTCTATCCAGGTTCTATATTTTCAGATCAGTGGTAATAGTATATTCTGGCCAATCAACGCCTGGCGACAAAAATGTGTATTTCATGACATTTGGTTGTCTTGTACATAGGTACTAGTAGAAGTGAACAAAAAACATTTTAACCTAAATTTACTACTCAAAATCGAATATTGAGCAAAACGCATGTTAGATATTATACGTGAAAGTTAAAAGTACGGCAAATATTTATCACGCAAGTAACGCTGAATACTCGAAAAACAATACATTTACATTATCACAAATGCCGCATAGTGCATCATATTTATAAATCATATGGCCTATGGATTTATGTATGTAACGTACTGTAAACTTAATTGTAGTGTTAGTTTGATTATTATTACTATATTTTTATTCATATATAGCCTATATATTATGCTGTGTAACCTTAGCTGATTCCATGCCATAGTTCAGTATCACTGCATCAGTGATATATCCAAAAAAAATTAATCGTTCAAATGAAGCCTACGAAGCCAGACATTTGTAACCGAACAGAACCGAACTCAAGTAAATAGTACAGGGTTGCAAATTACTGTCGGACATCGGACAATGTCCGACTAAATTTGGCAAATGTCCGAGCAAAAGTAATTTTGATCGGACATTGGTCAGATCACAAAAAAAATTGTTAAATTATACATTTTTTTGCTGTGACAAAATTCGATTGCAAATTCACTCAATTTATTTTGCAATAAAATTGACGAGGCATTCTAGCATTTTACTTTAACGTTGCGCCGGAATGGCTATACATACTTGTCTTGTGACTTAGCCTATATATATCTTGTGACGTATATATGTCCGACCAAATTTAATTTAGTGGTGTTGGTTTTTGTCCGACCAAATTCAAGTTATGTCCGACCAAAATTAAAAGTGATCGGACAAATGTCCTGTCAAGTCAAATATTTATTTGCAGCCCTGTAGTATTACTACAGAAAATACTTTCAATTTCGGGTTGCATGATATACAGACTGCAGTGTTTTAAGTTTCGACGAAAGCTTTCAAAGAACAGTTTGTAGCAGATTGTAGCATGTCGTTATAACGTAACTTCACACCTTCAGGCATTTATAGCATCGTTTTATTCGTTTATAAACATCTGTAGCCTACGTCCAAAACATCGATGACATACATGTATTTTGCTTTCACAAGCATAAGAATTTAATATTACACTGCACCAAGCACTGTTGCAGTGTGGTAATGTCTTCTGTGCATATATATTTTGCATCCTGGAACAGGAGTAAAAAGTAAATAATCAGAAATTGCTCTATAATCAAAATAGCTTTGAGATGCATTTCCGAACTGCGATCAGGAAATCTCCGAGTGGATAGGTTACTCTTGATAAACATCAAACCATCACGTCACAAAGATCACGTGCCTTCTATTATTAGTTTCATCTATTATTAAAGACTATACACTACAATACGTTTATAACCTCATGCGCGCCCGCATTACTTACCTGTTGAGGATTCTACAGTACTTCATATAAATAAAATTTTTTGCTCTCTCTCTGTTGACATAATTCTTGCGAAGAATTTATGCAAATCTTTTAAAGTAAGTTTATTACTTTGATTATTTTCCACTGGTTACTGACAGTAGTTGAGGCCCCTGTGGTTGACCGTACTGCATGAAAATGTGTGAAAACCTGCGTAAATCACACATGCGCACATACCTCTACATGAATCTGGTAGAAATTCACACACGTAGTATCGTTCTTGCCAGTAAGATTGAACCTAGCTGTAGTTTCATATAGTTTTTTGCCACCGTTAAGAAGAAATACACGTTTATATACTCTTACACTTGTTTCCGCATCCAATTCAAACGTGTATTTTATTTCTGCAAAAAATGAATATTTAGTTTGCCCAGTTTTCCTATATAAGGAAAGACTTCTTACTACAATGTTTAATAACGCAATACAAATTTTCACTAGAAATATCCCTATCAAAGTATCAAGTAATAACGAGAAAGATTGATATGCTGTGCGCAAGACGTTTTGTAATCAATCCAATTTATGACATTTTCTGTGTTGGTGTAATGTACTCAGACAGAGAAGGAATAAGGGTCTTCCCACAATGCATTGCGTTCAATATTATTCACAATTACGATTTTTGGCAAACGTTAGCGAAAAAGTTGTTGAAATATATTGCGATTTTTGGCTCTGAAGATGTCGTTTTTTCGAAGGTATGTGATGATAATTGTTTTGTTCGGACATAAATTAAACAGTTTTATATTTTTTGGTATAGATATTGCTTTTTAGTTATGCTAATTACGCACTGTATTTATGCTTGTTTCGGGTGAATGGACACGCCAAAAAATGGCTTTGAAATAGCGCAGGAGCGAATTATCTTTTTTCATGAGAAAAGTAAAAAAAAAACCACGTCATCAAATTCAGGAAGACTTGCTCTTTCTGTTGGTCCTTTAAAACGCTAAATCGCCCCTCCAAATCGACAAGCAGTCGCGGTTTGAAAATGGGGTATTTTTGCTATACTTTAATGCCGATGGCAGGAATAGATCCGGTGTTGATCCTTTATATGGCGCGAAGGAAACTATTTTCTATGATATCTTTGAAACATACGCATGTAGTTGTTACATATTTTGAGTGTAATGTTACTTTTAAAATTAAGGTCAGAATGTTAGTTTACAGTATTGACTGTATTTTTGTCATTTTGTTATAGAATTCGGACATAGAATCATGCAGATAATAGTGATGTTGTCATTGTTGATGAATGAAATGGTACTTCCATATTAAAAGCGAGTATATACGAGGGTATATACGTCTAAAGGTGATACCCCAGGGAAACCTAATAATAAGAGACACAGAATTTCACGTTTGAAGAATTCAACATTAAGTCGAACTTTGTTTCAGAGTCCTGGAACATCACCAAAGGTATAAAAGTACAAAGGTTCTTACAAACATAAAATACAGTACGACTGTACAAAAACATTGAATTTTAAACCCTTGAAGTGGCAGTGCGCCTCGATGCACCCTACTTTAGTATTTTACTCTGTCTAACGCTAGACGAGACTCCCCCGGCTATTTACACCCGGGAAAAGGATCGCACTAGCGAAGTCTAAAGTTCATCAAATATCGCGGGCGCGGTTCATGGGTGTATGGGTGGTCATCTCACTGATCTCAAAATATGGCTGTTTGCCAGGAGTGAAGAACGGGAAAATTAAAAATATATATGTAAAAAAGCTTGGAAAATCGTTTCACATAACAAATTGTAAAACTTTTCTTCAATTTTTGAAGGTAAACATTAACTACGAATTGATTTAGTATGATAAATTTTAAAGTATAGGGCAAGTTTGCATGTTTCAATTGTTTATTTATGTGACTTTGTATTAATATAGATTTTGTTCTTGTTGTTCAAGTCTTCCCTATGCATTGTTTGCGAAAGTTTCTTAGTTAAATTAACTTTTGTAGAAGTTCATGATATAAAGAAAAGCAAATTATTTTCATTAGCGACCTGTACGAATTAAATTTATTTCATTTCAAAGTGCAAGTAATAAGTTGAACAGATTAATGCTTCGGTCATTTGAAACCACGGACCCCCACCCCCGGGACATAGCGGGGGATTAACAAAATTTAGCCGGGATTTAACGCTATTTAACAACGTGCTATGCCCCGGAGGGCGGTGGAATTACCTAAATGTTTTTATAACAGGGGAATTGACTCGGGATATAACAGCCGCTATATATGGATACACCGGGGACTGGCGAAAAACTTGTTCAACAGTTTATACTTAATCGTCAGCCTGTCAGCCATCCGTTGCTGTTAATATTCAATAAGCACCAGGCATCGCCTTTTCCATTGTTAGAATAATATAGTAAAATGCACTGCGCGTCAGAGAAAACTCGGACAGCTTAACGGTGGTTTCGCTCATTAAGGCCACTACAAGTTAATCTTTAGTTTCTGGTCCGCCGCCCGCGTCCTTTCTCCGTAAAGTATTATTTCAGGACTATTTTGTTATTTACAATTAATTTCTAGTTCTTGAAAATTTTCGCGAAGGATTTAACTTATAAAACGATAAATATTCAATTTACACCAAAAAGACCTAGCAAAATGTAGTATTGAATGGTAAAAACCGCTGCCTTACCGAGATTACGAGGTAAAAAAAAATAGAAATATTAATAGATCATTTTGATGTGTAAAATCCTTTGTAATATGTCATACATGTCGATTTATAAATTTTGAAACAATTAGCATGAAAAGGGACAAGAAAGACCACAAAATTGTGGGCAAAGCCACAATTGTAATTATGTCCTATAGTCCTGGAGTGCATGCCCGCCCGCGTCGTAAACGAAGGTAATGCCGGACCAGAAACTAAAGATTAACTTGTAGTGACCTAAACATTTTTCTCTATCGTTTTCAGATCTCAGTTTTTCTTTCGCTCCTTAAATTTAAAAAACTCACAGCAAGCTGAGGTAGACTTGGTGACTAATCTGCAGGGCCATGTAATTGATAGCTATATAATTTAATATATACAGTATTTCAACACCGACCTCGAATACTTGACGGAAATTCAATCTGGAAGTTGCGGAAGACTGGTAACTCAAATGCATGCATGATGCGGAATTTGTCTTGTATTTATAGTTTAGGTATATTGAAGCCCGGCTGTACAGGACGTTTAACAGAACAGTTTGCCCCAGGGACGAGGAATTAATGTTTTTTAACACTTGTCAGTGTTAAATTCCCCGCTATGTCCCGGGGGTGGGGGGCCCGTGGTTTAAAATGACTAAAGGAGTTAAGTACATAATATCGGCAAAAAGCCGTTAAAATTCAATTCACATTTAAAAACGTTTTTAATACGTAGTTTCGTTTCGAATACCAAAATAAACCAAAATAATAAGAAACCAAAATAATATACCTACTTTCTATATTTTAGAAATTGATAGTTCTGTACTTAAAAGTGTTCAATTTCATCTACTTTTTGCACGTTTGAGAGTTTGACGTTTGTACAAATTTTTTTTAAAAATTATCGTGTTGCCATGACAAACATGACGTGCAGCGCGAGCCTGCGTTCAATGTTGGCGTAATCACGAATACTTCATGTTGAAACAATGTTTGGAGAATATAGGCGAGGGGTTGTTGCATGCGTGTATTTCTAGTAGTAACAGTAACGTTGTATTTTAATGCTTTTTTGCCTGTGAAAATTTCTGTCCATAGGCGTACGAGGCTAGGCTGGGGGTTGCAACCCTCCAGTCCAGCAATTGTTTTAAGATTGACTTCAAACAGTATTTCTGCAAGTCTGCATAGGAGTTACGTTCCTTCTATTTTATACCTCTTGTTCATCTATCAATAAACTCATGACAATGTTGGGCAATTTCTGTCCACCCGTACGCCAATGATATTTTTCAATGCTGGGGGTGGCATTTCAGAAAACCTATAGTGCACAAATTTCCTGGAGAAGCATGCCCAGAATCCTTGTAAAAATCAATGAGTTTCTTTGTTATTGTCTAATGATGCTGGCACTGACATCGCCCCTCTCACTTTTGCTGTTAGTTTTGTAGTTTCCTATCATAAAGATTAAACCGACTCCTCCAAAGAAATCCCCAGTAAAACTTCATAAATGGACATGTCAGGAAGATAAAGCATTCATTGAACTCATATAATAATAAGAATAATAATAATAAAAGCATAGCTGATGTGGTCGTGTAACTAAGTATAACAAATTCCACGAAAACATGACTATAGATTAACTGTTCACTAAAGCATAATCGTTCACATAAAAACACATAACAAACAATCACATTATTTGACACTTGCATGACCCAAACTATTATACACACATCTATTACAACTTAAGCGCTTTAACAGACTTTTTAAATTCTTTAAACGTTCTACTAATTTTCAGTTCAAGGCTCAGTCCATTCTGTAGACTAACAGCTTGAAAGGAGATTGATTTCTTAAGAAAGTCCGTGTTCGGTTTAGGAAGTTT